AGCCCTTAACTTATCACACAAACAAATACACCAACATCCTCCCATTTCTGCCACTGCAGTGAGAAGAAAGTGTCACATTCAGATGTGACATTTCAATGTGCTTGGGCTGTAAGTTAGGCTGCTTTCATTCACCAGTCTTCCAGCTGTTACTAAAGCACGTAAGTTCATGTGGGGATGCGTCTAAAGAAATCCCTGTAAATAACAGTCACCCTCCCTGTCTAAACTGACATACTATTTTTATTCTGCTGCTCTTCAACATGGTCCTAATTAGGACAAAGGCTTCACAACAGGTTCACCAGAAGTACACCTCATATCCTCCATTATTTTAGATGTGCTAAATTAAACCCAGAGCTGTTGGATCTTTCAGATGTTGTTGTTTCACTGGAGTTGTTTTTTGTTTGGTGGGTTTTGGTTTTGTGGGAGTTTTTTATCTAATCCATGAGTGTTTGAACTTTCAAGCAAACAAAGTTCCAGCACAAATTCTGATAGAAATCTTATGATTTACAATAACAAATGTAGAAGTATTTCACCCTGCAGACTCACAGAAAACCTTTCAAATAACTTAAAATAATTTAAAAGTCAGTTATTCATAAAGACAATCTTGAGAGTATGCAGAAGTACTTCATCTTAGAAGCATGTGCATACACTTATAATAGATGTATAGGGAAGATTCTGGCAAGGCGCTGGAACAGGTTGCCCAAAGAAGTGGTAAATGCTCCATCCCTGGCAGTGTTCAAAGCCAGGTTGGACAGAGCCTTGGGCAGCATGGTCTAGTGTGAGGCACCCCTGCCCAAGACAGGGGGGTTGGAACTAGATGATCTTAAGGTCCTTTCCAACCCTACCGATTCTATGATTCTATATGCTATGATATTAATGGCGTGCAGAGCTTGAGCAGCCTAGAAGCTTTAAACACAGCCTTGCGACAATATGCAGTTGCTCCACGTTCAAAACACTTTCATCCTTTTAGTAATCCTTGTCTTCAACATCACCAGTCTGACACAGATTTCAGTCCTTATCCTGACACCACTTTCTTATTGCCTTCCAAGATTATCTCAAGAAGCATTTCAAATTAATTAATCCAATTTAAGTTCCTAATTAACTGAGGCTAATAAAAATATGTTCTAATGCCAGCACATTTTCCATTCCCAAATGTGCATTTAATACACCACCATGTCAATTCTGGCAACTGAGGACAGCAAACTGACAAAAGGACCATTTTTTCTGGAGAAGAAAGAAAATACAGATTTAAAAGGTATCACGCCTACAATTCTAATGAAGGTGGGAAGTTTTTATACTTGCACAATTAAAGAAGAGCATTAACAGATCAAAAGCTGTATTTTGTTAAGCAGGAAAACTATCAGATTCCAGTAAAGCAATAAATACTTCCAATTACATCCAACTAACCACAAACCAACACACTGAAAAATGCTGCATATAAAATGCAGGTTTTAAGCACATTGAAGCTTCATAACAACGTACAAGAAGTCTTGGAGATTACACAGCATCTTCCAGTCATCAGGGTATTACACCTTGGTAAATAAATACAAATCTGCAGCCTTTAATTTTTCTAAAAGTGCAATAGTTTCAGATTTGAGTTCTTCCAAATTCATAGAAGACAGAGCATGCATACAGCGATGGTCATATCATCATACACCCTATACAGGATGACAGGATCTCCTGCTTAAACTTCATCCATATTGCTCCTGGAAGACTGGTCACTGGTAACACTTTAAATAACACACCAATGCAGCAGTTCATACCTGTAATCTCCATTTATGCTAGCAAAACTACCCCCACAAATCCTATGGCAGACTTAAGTGTAAGTTTTGTACTCAGTCTTGCATTTGCAAGAGAGAAAGCATGCCAGGCTATGCCAAGAACAGAATGATTTGGGTTAGAAGGGACCTGAAAGATCATCCAGTTCCAACCCCCCTGTCATAGGCAGGGGTGCCTCACACTAGACCATGCTGCCCAAGGCTCTGTCCAACCTGGCCTTGAACACTGCCAGGGATGGGGCAGCCACAGCTTCTCAGGGCAACATGTGCCAGTTTATTCCACCATCCTCACGGTAAATAATTTCTTCCTAAGATCTAACCTAAATCTACAATCTTCTAGTTTAAAGCCACCCCCCTCCTTATCCTACATGTCATACACCAAGCGAAGGCCTGATAATTAAACCCAAGAGGGTCATCCACCCAAAGGATTTATCTCTAAACTGTTCCTGATATAAGCTTTGTACATTTTCAGAGTGCCCAGGTGATCTTTGTTGAGATCCCAAGTGCTACTGTATTTTAATATTCTTATAACATAAACATTTAAGCCTCATGAAAGTTTCATCTGAAAGCCTCAAATGTAAAGAGTACTCCACAGGCTCTTAGTCCCAAAGGAAAGTCTGGGAACTGTGAATTTTTGCTCATAAATCATCCAGATTTCTCAAGCTGTGCATTTTTCACACAACCTGAAACAAAACAGTGTCACATCAGACCATAAAACATGTATTTACTTTCTAATTAAGACAGCCAGGCATTAGCCAGGATTTCATAATCAGTAAGTCTCTAGAATGAACATGACAAATTTCATATTGCATGTATTAAAGTCAGCAATGGGTTAAGAGTTCCTACCTTAAGGCAGGAACTAATGAAAATTAATTTCCTGACATGAACATACAAAGAAGGTTCAAGATGTTGGGGTTTTACACTAAAATGCACTAAAAATCAGACTTTAATTCAATGACTTACTATTAGGTTTGATACAGTCATAACATATGCATCAGTAAATGGGCTCTTCTCCCAGCTTAATGCCAGCTCCATTGTGCTAGGTGAAATACAGATGACACATACCATTTGTAGTGCCTAGCCTTGCAGTATCTCAAGCACACGCTTGTTTGCAACACAAGTCCTTGCAAAATTAGAATCCAAGTGACTTAACTACCAAGCTATGCCTGTGAACATGACTACCATGAACTCTCTCAAGAAAACCCTCCCATTCACAAGACCATGGCAGGAGCTCAGCGCGATTCTGCCCATGAAAGCCTTTTTCCTTGTAAAAGGCATTCTGAGTAAATTCAACTCGTACCTTAAAGAGAGCTCAACACTGAAAGGAAGTGAATTGCTACAGCTAATAAATCATCAGAAGTCATACTGAACTTCCTGAAAATTGTCACCTCTCTGATAAAAGGCCGGCTTAAAGTACCTTGTCTCACAAAGAGATTATCACAGAGAGATGCAGCCGAGTTTTGCATTTCAAAAGTAGCATTTTCATATTGTCTTCTTGGGAGGAAAAAATATGTCCAAGAATAGTGCCAGACGGATCTAGAACGCAGCTTCAAAGACATTACTGGTACCAAAAGTATTTAACTGATGAAAGTAGTACAGATTGTAAGTGAAATTGACCAACCTTTACAACTCTGGTTACTTTTCACAGCATATGAGAACTTGTTGGAAGGAGGAGAGGACACCAGAAGCAAGGCACTGTCATAGACGAAGGCATTCTGTGAAAAGCACAAGCTTCTGAATAGACTCCATAGCATCTAACTGCATTATTGGATGGAGAAACTGCCGAAAAGCTTTTTAGAGGCAATGAAAACAACCACCAATGTCATTCTACGCTTTGCTGCGCAAAACTGTCTTTTTGCCCCTTTGCCGTGTCATTTGTTCAAGTTGCCTTTAAAAAAAAAAACAAAACAAAAACCTCATCACCCAATCGGAATTTGCAGCTAACAGCAATCACTTCATAGAAACTTTCATCTTTTGTTCCTCTACAGTCGTCTTCACACACTAGCAGCCTATACTAAAGATTACGAAAGAACAATGCTAACAAGACTTGAAAATCCTCGAGTACACAGATCTTTCCTTTGAGAACTTAAGACTCGGGAGCTTTTTCGGGGTAGAGTCAGAATCCAGCTGGATGGAAAACAAACGTGAGGTCTTTGGGGATTGCAGGGAACAAGACATGCCCACCACCACTATCTCTGTTTTTACCATTACCTTTAAAACACAAAGCAGATGGAAAGTTACTTCAGTGTAACGTGCGGAAAGTCAAATACCGAAGCCTGAACAGGCACAACCCCCCAGAGTCTGCGGCGCTTCCCGATGAACCTCAACCACAAACTCTCATCAAATACAACTGTTGCAGCCACCTCCCCGCGTCCCTACCCGCGGACACCGAAATCAACGCGGCAGGAAAAACAAAAACCACGCGGAAAAGATGGGTTGGAATGGATGTAATCCACAGCACGTCACTGAACTACGTCCCAGATCTTTCCACGAGCGAGCAGGCACACGCTCCCAGCCGGGGAGCGAGAAGTCAGCTCCAGGCACCACGCTGCTCGGGGAGACCAGCGGGAGCAGCTCCTTTGTCTGGCCCGCAGCCGGCTGCCCGCACCCCCCACTGCCTCCTCCAGCCGACACAACTGACCCCGCTGGCCCGAGCCGCCCCGCCAAGGCCGCCGCTCCCCTCCTCCGCCCTCCCCGACCGCCGCCCGGGACCCGAGCGAGAGCGGGCGCGGGAGGACCCAGACGCAGCCGAAACACCAGCGGCGCCCGGGGAGGACCGCGGGAAGGGGAAAGCTGCAGCCGGTGCCCGGAGCGCGGCCCCGCCCCGCGGACAGAGACCAGCTTCCCTCAGCAAGGCGGGAGGCGCGACCGCCGACCCCCTCAGGGCGCCGGCCCTGCCCCTCCACCGTCCCCCGCCCTGCATCGAGCACCGGCCCTTCACCCGGCCCCGCCGCGGGAACTCTGCCACCCCGTCCGTGCCCGCGCCCTTCGCACACCGAGCGAGCCCCGGGGGTAACCGCGCACCGACGGCTCCCCCGGGGCGGAGCGCGGGACCCAGAGCCTGAGGGGCTCTCCGCAGCCGGCCGTTAGCTGCCCAACCGCGCAACCGTCCCGCCGGCGCTGAGGGGCTGCGCCAGCCCCACGAGAGAAAAGTTGGCCCTGCGGGAGCGGCCACTAAGCGAACTCACCCGTCCCGCCCGCCTCCGCCGCCGCTCGCCGCCTTACTCGCCCGCCGGGAGCGACAGCGGCAAGCGCGGGCGGTGGCGGGCTGGCACCGCCCGACCCCGCTGCTGCCTGGCGGCGGCCACAACCAATCAGAGGGCAAAGCGCGGTCACGCCAGCCAATAGAGTGGCAGAGCGGACCGTGCGGGCGCCCTCTCCCCGAATGGGTGGTGCTGCCCCGCTCCGAGGGCGGGCGGCGGCGGGGCCAGGGCTGGGGGGGGTCGCCGGTCTGTGAAGGCGCCCCTGGAGGGAGGGGGGATCTTCGCGTCCCGCAGCCGCAGGCCCGGAAACGCGAGAGGCGGTGGCAGCTCCGTGGGGTGAGACAAGTCATTGTTTCCCCGCCGGGGCTGAATCGGCAACGTGCCTCCGGCGCCGGGCAGAGCCCACCCCCGCGGCCGAGGAAGCCGAGGCTGACCCGGGGCGCTGGTGAGGGCCGTGCCCCGAGGGGAGATGCTCCATCCGTGGCGGCGGGAAGCGCACGCTGCCGGAGCGCTGGCGGGAGCTGTCACACCGAGCGAAACGCGCAGGGGCCGCGCCGGGGGGGAGCCAGCACGGGGCGCGTGTGTTGCCGCTGTCAGAAAGCACATGCACACCCACCTCCTGCCGCCGCTGGAAACGAAACCGGAGCTGGTGACAGGCTGAGTAACGGACTGTTGAGCCAAGTACAGCCTTTAACGCCCCAGCCCTCACAGAGCTGCCGGCTGACAGCTCCGCCAGGGAAATGGGAATGCCTCACCTTTGGATGCCTCTTCGTTTTTATCAGTCGCGTCTTCAGCGTTAGCTAGGTTTTGGATTCTTACCAGCCTTCCCAGAGTGCAGCAACTGTGGGCAAGTTTCATTCCACAGCACTCTTAAGGCCTTTTCAATTACAAGTACTTTTCTTACTATTTTTTTTTACTCTCTACTGACTTCATCCTTGGATTGCTCTGAAGAATGATCTTGAAATAAAACTGAACACTGCATAACCAGCTCCTTTTTGTTTAACTGAAGCTCAGTCTACATTTTTTGTTAGGACCAGAGTTTCTTTGCAAGCAGGCTTTGAGGATGAAGCTTTAATCCTTAGAAGCACGCGCTTATGGAAATCTTCAGGATTAATAAAGATTAAGTTAATCAGCAATATAATCGCTGTGTGCTGAAACTGAGGCAAGCAGGTTGTGATTTGGTCAGTGTCAAATACCATGTAATGACAGAGCCCGAATTAGCTCCACCAACGCTGACTGTCACAAAGCCTTGTCGCACACAACTACTCATTTAAAAGCCATGCTCTTCTATGCTTTACCAGTCTTAATTTCCTAAATAAGTCTGCACAGGTGGACAGTGTGTTCACATAAAAGTTTACTGACTTCCCTGGAGCCCTGAACCTGAGAAAATGGCAGGTTCAATGCACTTCTGCAAACTTTCCTGGCCACCCTGCGTACGTACGTCAGTATCTTTCTGTCTGAGCTCTGTCTAGACTTGTACTATTGTACCATTAATTCCCATGGGTATCTAGTACATAATTTTAATTTATTGGCAATAAAATGTATGCATTATTTTCAATAATCTTTTATAATACAAATTATTATACATAAAAACTGCTTTTAGAATATAAATGTCTTTCTTACTGAGCCATTTGTCTTTATAACACACCCACTGTCTTGCGGCCTAAATTCATTCTGGCAACAGTTTCTATGACACTGGATAAAATAGGTCTGCTTTCCTGAAAAGAAAGATGATAATAGTTCCAATAAAGGTATAAAAAAAGCTTTATTATTTCACTCAGGTGAAGAGAGACAATCAAATGCCATAATCTTAGGAACAACCAAATGGAACTTTATGAGTGAGATAATAAATTTCTACCTTAGAAAGAATATATATCTGAATCACAGCCAGAATACTTAATGGTTTGTGAGGCAGGGGGGGAAGGTTAAGATCTTTATCTGAATATCTCTGCATTTCCATCACTATTTCTGGCAACAACAGTGCAGGCACACAAGACTCCCATCACAATGTCCTTCCCACCTGCTGCCTCTACCTACTCCCAAGACCCTTCTGGGTTTTGTGATCCAACAGTTGCACAAAACACCAAATCAGTTCAGCCTGAAGAGAACCAAGTAGCAAAACCAAGGGATTTTTAACACAGTTCTGTTTCCCGAGCTGGTTTACTGCTCAATCCTGCAGTTGTGCGAGCAGCATGGACCAGAGAACAAGGAATGGGAGCAAATAATACAGCAGTACAGGAGGAGTTTGTTAACCTGCATCCCTAGACCCAGTATCAGGAGGCTGATGGTACTAGGACTAGGTACTGATGTGCCTTGTGACACAGATGACATACTAAGTGACCCTGATAATGTCAGAGAAATGTACTAATACCATCAGTAGTTGTTAATTTTACTGTTACTGATGTGTTATGACTGTAATGATTAGTAAAAGTAATGAATCATCCACAAAAGGCAGGCAAACTCTTCACATGCAGCATATGACATACATTAACAGCTCCGTGGGTCACATTATCAAAAGAAAAGAATTGAGGGGTCCATAGTCTTGCTTAGAAATTCAGTTAACATTTTCAAAGATGCCCAGAATACCCTATATTACTTCCACAGATTTTAATAATGCCCCAATTATTTTAGTGCTTCGGGCATTATTACCATATTAGCCTTAAATATTTTAAATGCAGTAAACTGTATGCAATATATTTTCTTTTTACTACCTTTGTATCTCTGTGCATAGATGTGCGCATCACTTACTGACTTTTAGTACTGTGTTTATGGCAGGTGTTTGGCCATTAGCAACCCATTTCAAATTGCCCTCTAGGAGGAGGGCTACAGACAATCAGAGCTTTTATTCCATTTCCCCAGCAGTCAGGGCTGCTCAGTGTCATTTCAGAAACAATATTTTGAGGAAGAAGTTTCCTTTGTATTTCATAAAAAATTCTCATTGTCCAGGAGCATAATTTGGAACCTACAGCTTCTGCCTGCTTCATTATTTTTGGTCCATGCCTTTTCATCTTATATTTAGATTGTGAACTATGATAGAGTTGTAAGCTTCTTTAAAAATAGAAATCCTTGATTAAATAAATACTTAACAACCATAATCTCTGTCATATGACCTTTCTTAAAGCCCAGTTCAACACATAGTCCATTTTTAAGTGATAGTACATCTGGACCTTGGGAAAAAATAACACTTATTTCCAGTCATCTGATCTCATACCATATCTGTAGCCTGTAAGACACCAAGAATGGCACAATTTAGGGAGAGCTAGAATGCCAGAAGTGACATTTTTGGTCCTCTGTCCCACTGCCAACCTAGACCAGGCTGGTCGTGACCATAACTGCATATGCTGCTAGACAGATGGTAGAACCGTTGTGGAGCAGCCCTTCTGTTTCAGTTAGGATGGAGTAACAACTGCAGAATCAAGAGTGGTCTGTAGTTTCGTTTAGAAATTCAGCGGATGTTTTCAGAGATGGCGAGAACTTGCATTGCACTTCTACAGAGACTTTGACAGCCCCACTAATTGGGACTATGAGAAAGCATGGAGTCAGCAGAGTTCCAAGAGCTCTGTATGAAATGCAGAGGGCTCTGGAGACTCCTGGTCTGACATGCTCCATGAAAACTATTTCAGTAACCAAAGCATGTAAAAAGCCAGGGGAAAAAGAGTAAGGAAATCATGCTGACCTAGGAACAAACACCAGATATTCTGAATTTCCCTTCCAAATAGAAACAAGAAGTCAACACTCTTTGCAAAAACACAAAGTCTGCAATTTTTATTTTGGGAGCTCTGAAACAACTGACAAATAAAATATTTTGACAGTGTCAGATGTTTGATTTTGATTTATGTTTTTTTCTCTTCATACTGTAGTTTCAACCATTAATATTTTGATAGCTTTCTCTTGAAAACAAATGAAACTGATATATTCCTACAAAAAGTTACATTTTATCTAACCCATGTTTTGACAGAAAACTGCTGTAGCAGAAAGCTCTTTACCAGATCATCAGGAAAGTGAAAAATCACTGACTCTGAAACACTGAAGATCTTACAGTCTCAGATTTCTCATATTATCACAAAACACTTTAAAGGAAAGTGTTCAAGAAAGAAGGCCTCTATAAACATTCTGTTGGTCAACTGATTGAATAAAGTCTTTTTAATAGAACTTCAGATTTTTAAAAAATCATATATTGGCATAGAATTCTAAGAACCTCATTTTCCTTCATAATTTATGATAAATATTTTCTATTGCAAATAAAGACAGCTTTTATCTTAAGCTGACCTTTAGGTCTCCTGACTTAGTTTTTCTTGGCAAAACTTACACATAAGTATAATGCTACTATGCCTTGATTTGCTAATAATGCAAAGAAATATGTCTCACAAAACCGCTCCAGTAGAATTAAAACCAAAATCTTTAATTTATTCTAGCATTTAAAGGCTCTCCAAAAACTTATATTCAAATAACTCAAATTTAAAACCAAGTTTGGCTTGCTGCTGAAGGCAAGTTCTTGAAACAATATGTTCCGTAACAGAATATTTCACTAAAGGATGACGTTTGCAACGCTATAAAATAAAATGTAATAGCTGTTGATTTTGATTAAATTTTAAGGAGAAGCTACTATGAAGATTAGTAATAGAAAAAGCTTTTCCTTACTGTACCACTAATATAAGGCAAAATTTAAAAAAAAACCATAGCAACCAAATCATAATAAACGCAAATAATGCATAAACTATCTTTACTACATGGCAGCTAGGAAATCCATTACTACTTCTTCCTCACACTTCAAAAGCAGAGGTTAAAACCCCATATATAGGTTTGTATGTGCAGCAGTTCACAAGATTAATTGCTTGAGTGGAAAGACACAAGCATTGCATCAAAGCTTTTGTAGCCCAGAATCCTAGAAACAAGCCCTCGAGGTAAGTGAGAGGGAGGAGGAGAACTGAGCGGAGATTGCTCTCCTAAGTAGTACAACCAAACACACAGCATCAGGACAGAAACAACAGCAGGAAAGGCTGTATTTGGGAGGGGGAAAATGGAAGAAGGTGATGAGGATACAGCTCAGCACTCCCACGAGGCAGCCTATAGC